AGGTAGGGAAATCAAAAAATCAAAATGCACTAAGCAGAAAGGCTTAAAGAAGGTTCATACAACCATGCTAGATTAGGCTCAGATGCAAGTAGGCAATGGGGCTAATGGAAGAGCATAAAAATGTCATAGTCTTCACGAAGCATTGATCTAGATGATTCTACTAAAATGCTGTGACTGGAGAATGTCTTTAAGACAATTAGAAGAAATGGACTCCAATATACTTCTTGAAGAAAAAGTAGGATAGTTGGGACTGTCTAACCATGCTCAAGAAAATCCTTCATAAATACACTAAAATAAAACCAAAATCTTGAGTCTGTATAAAGTGGAAAAATCATGCAAAATTGAAAGTAAAACCAGTACATGTACGTGTCAGCAGTTGTATAGCATGTACAGTATAGTCCAGTGGAGATAGCTTCTTCCCTCAATGGTCTCCTTAGGAGTCAGCCTAAGAGTGTGAAACTAAATTTGAGCAATGGTAAAGACATTTTGGTGCAAACAATTGGCATGCCCTTGTGTTAATCCAAACTTGCCTGAATTGAAGTGGCAATAGGATTCTGCTGACAAGTTGAGTCAAAGGAAACAAGCATACAAAATAAAGGAAGGTCCCACTGAATAGCAAACATCAGCAGCATTGTTAGGTATTTGTACATGGTAACAAAAGGGGTAAAGACCAGCAGACACATCAATGGAAGGGATTCTCAGATGCTTGTAGTAATGCTGGAAGACCTCTGACTTACGTACTTTGATTCTGAAATAATCTTGTACACAGTGAATGCAACCGGTGACACAGTCAAACAGATTAACGATTTTTTTGGGCAGGCTTGGAAATTTTATACTATCTTCTTATTTTGTATCATGCAGTGCCATACCTCGTGCTTTTTACAAATGAACAGGATACTATGAAGTCTAACTCAACCTGTTTGCAGTTGCTATTCATGTATAACTTCCTTTGCTTCAGTATTGCTCCCTATAAGCTTCTGGGTACATGTACAGGACCTTGAAAAAAGTCTGTAGACTATAATTAGAATTTTAGTTGTGCCTTAGAGAAATGGAATTTTTATGACCTTTAAATGCAATTTTAATTCAACACAATAAGTAAACCAAAGTTTACTTATTGCCCATTGAAAGCCTGCTCCCAAACCACTCGAATAAGGAATGAAACTAATACAGTAACAACCAATGATCAGAATATGACCAGCATGATGTTCATACACATGACTGGGCCTGGTATATTAGGCAAATTCAAAAGAGGGGTTGCAAATTTTAGGTATTTCTGGCAAAGAGCAGAATGATTTTGCTGGCAGAGGTCCTTAACCCAGCACTGAAAGGTTTATTTGTGGCTTTATAAACTGATATAGCAAGTTAAATTAAAAGTACAATATCATGTCTTCTTACTAGACTCTCTCCTTCCCACCTCCCAAACTAAGCAAATGATTCTCACCCGGATTCTTTAGACACTTGAGAGATTACATTGCAAAGAAACTTACGACCTGGCAAAACAAAAGTTCAATTCACAGTTCTGAGAAAGTTCCAAATGGTAGGTGCTAGTCTACCGGCATGAAGGAAAATCTCCCTCTCGTTACCAAGAATTTGTAATGAAAAATTTCTATTCTATTATGCTCCTATTTCAGAAGCCAAGATACTTATTTTAAAATTGCATATCAAAGAAACATAAAACCCATTGTGGAGGAAACTTTCACATTGTGAATATCTCTCTATAAGAAAGGTATCATCAGTTCTCTTTTCTGAAAAATTGGTAAAGGAGAGAAATCTTTCTGGTAATTGCAAATATACTTAAAATTCAGTAGTAGAAGGGGTAGACAAAATATAAATATTTTAAAATTTTGAAATAAAACATTATCCTTCATGAACAAATCCACAATATTCTGCAGTCCACAGGGATAAGATGTTGGTAGAGGAGGCTTGGGAATCCCGTGCATTTGACTGTAGGCAGGACTGAAAATCAAGGACCGAACTCAGGTTGGTGTAACCACGGCAGTAGCAGCAAACGGCTGCTGATGACCCCAGTCTCCAGGTGTACCAATGTCACAGAAAACTAGTTAACTGAACTACTCAGAATAAATTTCTTAGCCCAGCTGGTAAGAAGCCAAGTAGAATATTCATTTTACAGAGACTACATTTACCTAGAACATTAATAACCTAGAAGTTATTACAGAGAATGTGACAATGATAATGTAAAATAACAAAGAAGGAAAGAATACTGTTCATATTGTTTTTTAGGAACACAACACACACGTGCGCACACATGCACCAATGCTTCTTAAAGAGAAAAAAATTAATTAAACATTATCTTGTTTAAGAGTGTATGAAGGGTGTCTTTCCTTTACAGATGTCAGACCTGGTGGTTTGGTATGAGGAAAAATTGCATGACTGGATTGTTGCAGAGCTACAAGGTGAATGGAAGAAACAAGATGTATACTTGCTTGCAAGCATTCTGGCTAGTATCTTAACAAGTGCACAACTTTCAAAAGATTCAGCTTTCTTTCAGGTATTTAAGACAAAATTTTTATTTCCTGTTATTTCACTTTTCTGTGAGCTACAATAAAAATTTGGGGGTCTCATTTTCATTTATCCATGGATACTTCCACACTACCTGGATTCCACTATAACTGAGAGTAAAGTCTCTAATATTCATTTTGTTTAATATAAAACAAATTCAGTTTTAATGTCCCAAGGTCCCAGGATTCCCAGACGTAACTAACTGGTATTCTTAAATGAAACAAATCTCTAGAAACAGATGCATCTAGTAAGCAGCCTATTGCTAGGTTTCTTCCTCTGAGAAATACTGCATTATAAGCACTAGAAGATCACATGGCCCAGGGGAATAAGGTCATAGCATCCACATTAGTACATTTCTTAATTATTAACAATAATTTTATAATTTCATACCATTTCATGATCATTTTTTTCACTGATGATGAGCTAATTATTCATTAGGTACTTAGAATATGTAAGGAGGCACATGTACCTTGCAAATATTTTGTCAGCTTCATAGTCTGTTGAGAAATTGCCACATTGTATTGGTACATCTTCTGTAACATCAGTGTTTTCAGTTCTCTCCTTACTGCATCAGAAAATTTGCTCTTGCCTTTGGGCTCATCTTAGATGTTCTGCTCTTTACCTTCTTTAGTGATATTTTCAATTGAGTTACCTGACTATGGAGGAATTTTCATATGTCAATTCATTTATGAATACTGCTTCTGCATCACACCCTAAGAAATGAGCTGGAAATGATGAGCTCTGAAGCTGCAGAGCTTCAAAAATAAAACATTTTGAAAATCTATAAATATCAAATAGATATAGTAGTATTTGTGGAGAAATAATTAAATTAGTTTTCCCAAAGATAAAGTGCATTGATCTAATTGTTGAGGAATAAATTTTTGTTGGTTTGGGTTATTTTATTTTTTTCAAATTGAAAAGGAAAGTAGTAATAGCTTTATATTTACTATTCAAATATAAGTAAAAAAATAAAAAAGTTATAATTTTAGCCTACATTTATGCCTCTGAAATACCACAAGTTTGGCTAAGTTAGTGGAAAATTTATCAGAATCACTTAGACAGGAATCTAACATTGAACAGCTTTCTCTGTAGTTCCAAAATAAAGAAACATCAGTTAACTCTAGTTATCCTTAGTCACAAAAATTTGTCGACTTTAGCATTTCTTGGCCACTCTTACCCATTTGCCTTTATCCTTCAATCCCTCTTTAAATCCTATTTGGTATCTATATGCATTTGTATGATACTTCTATTTAATACTATTAACAGGTAATTTTTTAAAAATTTTTTTTTCCCCACAGTAGTTTTCAACTTTGATTTTGTTATGCTTTTTCAAGACACAAAATAGTTTTTCAGTTGAGGATCACATAAACGGAAGGAATCTACAGGATCACTCCTGCAAGTAATGTCACAGAGAACTACTTTGTTAATTCCTTTACATACCAATCAAGTTCCATCTTACCACTATTTCACTTAGAAGACTGTTGCTGAACTTCACACCTCCAGAGATTTCCTTTTACTTTTCAGCCTAAAATTTATTCATGGTCAAGTGCATCCATTCATTATGTCAACACTGTTCCTGGTCTATTCATAAATACAATTAAATATCTTTTTAACTTTTGCTTTGTTAAGGTCAACCAGTCATGCTTTTTTAATCTTTACCTAATGTGACGTTTTCTCAGTGCCTGAATAGTAAACATTTTCTGCACTTCCAGTATTCCAGATTGGATTGCACTAGAACCTGTATGATGCTATTAATATTCTATTTGGAAACAATCTCTTGATATCTTGTACATTTTTTATATATATATATATATACACACACACACACAAAGCCCCCAAATCTACAAATTTGTTTTGTAAATTACCTCTTAATAGAGAACAGACTAGCAACAGATTTCAAAACATTAAGAATTACTAACAATTTTATGTCATGCATAAAGATTCATCCTTGTGTTTTTCTGGAACCTACTATTGTCTGGGTAAATTGTTGGGGGTTTTTTTTAGAGTACTCTAGATTGACAGGTTCTATAAATGGGATAACCTTTTTTTTACTTAAAAGCAACTACATTCAATGCCAAAATGATAAGTGTCTGTCTATAATACCCAAAAATACTATTTTTAGGAAGAGAAACACAGAAGGTAAAAAGAACAGTGCTAGAGAATAAATGTAAGAAATTGAGCCACTGAAGTCATCCTGCTG